GGGTCTAACTGCACATAGCTCTTATACAAACTCTTCGATCAAGGCAAAGATAGTTTCAGATTRTATTATAGTATAAATAATGAACATACGAGAGGTATAAAGCTTCGGTGCAGCGAAGTTAAATTTTTCTCTTGTTTGCTTTTTGTTTCGTATTCTGTTTAAGTTAGTGAAATCCGGTCCCATTAACATAACATTCACGTTTACTTATGAGTTATCTACTAATGTAATTATCTAAATATATATTGTGACGCTCATTTGGTAGAAGTTAGAAATTTATCGTGGTCTAAAGGTTTTGCGGTATTTTTCGGTAATAGAAAATTGATTAAAAAAAAATTAGAAGCTTCTGGTAAAATATTCACTTTGTTTAGCTCACTTGCCTATAATTAAAAATAACTTTTGAAACTAGATAGTATATCATAAGTGTTTTTCGGTAAAATGGCAAAGCTTTTAAGACTTGAAAGCAACAATAAATTATGCATAAACATTAACTTTTTTTTCATGATTTCAATAAAGATAGTTAGAGATGTAGATAGTGAAACCGGTAGGAATAGAGTTCGATAGATATAATGGGAAAGTAAGAAGCTGTAATAGTGGTAAAGATAGAAATGGAGGATGTTAAGGAGTTAAGGTCCAACCCTATATACAGTTTGGCCAAAAGATAGATAAAAATAGCAAACATTAAAGATATAGCTAGAGGTAATGATAAAGACAGTAAAGAAGACAGATAAATAAAATATTAAAAAGGCTTTTAGAGATGGTAAAAGGGATTGGAACAGAGAGAATTTAAAATAAAGATAGTAATAAAGGTACAATTAATGCAATTGATAGTGATAGAAATTGAGACAGATAAAGTTAAAAAGTTAAGTTAATAATAGTGATAGGGAAATAGAGAGTTAAATATAATAATACTACGAATATGAATGTATCTTCTTTTATATAACGTCACCTAAAATGCCAAACAATGTATTATCACAAAAAAATCGAAAATCGCTGTCAGATATATTAACCAATATATAACCGTTTGTAAACAAATTCTTTAAAAGATATTTTTCATGGTATCTTAAAGCTTATTTTGAGATTTATTATTTAGGTCATTAAATTAATTTAAAATTTTTTAAATTTTTTAAAACTACATTCCTTTGTTGTAAGATCACAAATTATAATTTTTTCCCGAAAAACTTAAACATATATGTATATGCTTATTTATAATTATTTACAATTTGTTTTTTTGTTTGATTTGATTTTAGTTTAACAACACTTTGATTTAAAAAGAAAATGAAGTATTTAAAATTATTTTTTTAAATAAAATAATATTTTTTT